TGTTTTTCCTGCTGTGTTTATTAAATGAAATCATTGGGGTGCTCAGGTGGAGGCAAGGCCAGGACACCCATTCCTGAGTGGTTTTCCCCTAACTGTGCTGCTCTGGCAGGGCTGGTCCTGGACTGGCGCTGGCTGGCCGTGGCCGGGGAGGTGCCGGTGCTTGCCATGGTCCTCCTGCTCTGCTTCATGCCCAACTCGCCCCGGTTCCTGCTCTCCCAGGGCAAGGAGGAGGAGGCCCTGGGCTCCCTGTGCTGGCTGAGGGGTCAGGACACAGATTATGCCCGGGAATATGAGCAGATCAAGGACAGCGTGAGGAAGCAGGTGAGGAAGTTCAGCATGGGCAGAAATAACATGAAAACTGCAAAATCCATCCCCTGGGCAACTCTTCAGCCACCCTCTGGATGCCAGATGGCTCCCAGAGGTTCTCACTTTGTGTTTCTGCCTTTGTGCCCCCCAGAGCCGTCGGGTTACCTGTGCTGAGCTCAAGGACCCCTTTCTTTACAAGCCCATCCTGATTTCAGGGCTGATGAGGTTCCTGCAGCAGCTCTCGGGGGTCACCTGCATCCTCGTGTACCTGCAGCCAATATTCAAGAAAACATCTGTCATCCTGGTGAGCCCTGGGTTTCAGTTCCTGCTCGGGCTGCCTGGGCCCTCAGTGAGGGTTGCCCAACGCTCCCACTTCCCTACAGACATAAAACTCTTTTTTAAAGGATCTGCCCTGCAAAAGGCTGAGGGAGGACAGGGAGCAGGACTGGCCCCACTGTGTCCCTGCTCCTCCTCTGAGTTCAGGCTCATCATCTCCAGTCTCCTACTGGGAGAACAGCCTTGGCCAAGCCCTCAGCAGCTGTAGGCACTTGTCCCTTCCCCCAGCTCAGCTTCCCCATGGGTTTTTTGCAGAAAGCAGAGTATGATGCAGCTCTGGTCGGCCTGGTGCGACTGTCCGCAGTGGTCATCGCTGCTGTGTCCATGGACAAAGCTGGCAGGAAGATTCTCCTGTTTGTATCAGGTATGGCTCTCTCCACTTCTCCCACTGTGTTCCCAAGGGAAGCTCCTATTGAAGGATTTTCAGGAGCTCTGCAAGTGTGCAGGAGTGGAAATTTCAGCCCTACAGGGCTCAGGAAGGGAGGCAGGGAGGTCTTTTTCCCTTGGTGGTGCTTCAGCTCCTCAGCAGAGGCATTCCCAGGAGTGGAATCACTCACCCCTCATTCTCACTGTGCTGCTGCCTCTCTCCACAGCTGGTGTCATGTTGGTCTCCAACCTGACCATGGGGCTCTACATCCACTTTGAGCCAGCTTCTCACAACGGCACCGTGGCCAACACCACCCTGGCGAGCTCTGCCAACCTCCCTGCTGAGCCAACAAACTACATCACCCTCATCCCGCTCCTGGCAACCATGTTCTTCATCATGGGTAGGTGCAGAGGGCACAGGACTGGCTACCAGCCAGGGGAGGGTGTTTCTCATCCAAGGCAGGGTGACGTGGTACAAGGAGATTGGGGTTGGAGGGGGAAGGAAGGCAGATGTCCCTGGAAGAGCAAGAAAGGTGGCATGAGGAATGACATGAATGGGAGGGATAATGATTGCTCAGGGTTCTTCTGCACTCCTCAGTGATCTTCAAGGCCTGATCCCCTCCCCTCCTCTCCTGCAGGTTATGCCATGGGCTGGGGCCCCATCACTTGGCTGCTGATGTCGGAGATTCTCCCTCTCAAAGCCCGTGGGGTCGCCTCGGGCCTCTGTGTGCTCGTGAGCTGGCTGACAGCCTTCACCCTGACCCAGTTCTTCCTCCCAGTCGTGGTGGGTACTGCCTGGGGGTGTCCAGCAGCCCCTCCCAGCCCCTCTCTGCACCAGCTCACAGCTGCTTTCTGCTCCTTTCCAGAATGCCTTCGGCCTTGAGGTGCCCTTCCTGTTCTTCGCTGTCATCAGTGCTGGGAACATCTTATTCACAGGCTGCTGTGTCCCTGAAACCAAAGGCAGGTCCCTGGAGCAGATTGAGGCCTTTTTCAGGACTGGCAGGAGGTCCTTCCTGAGGTAGGAGCTGCCCTTGCCCAGGCTGAGGGCGAAGCAAACTTGTGCTGCTGGAAGTGGAGGCTGGAGCTCCGTGTGGGACAGGAAAGGGCAGCAGTGATCACCTTGCTCTGGCTGCAGAAGTTGCCAGCTGGAACTTTACCTTCTCCTCCTGTCAACCCTTGGGATGGGAGCAGGTCACCAGCAGGGCCAGGCTGGAGATGAAGGTGTCCTGGAAGAATAACAGTGTGGGCAGGAGACTGTGGTTGCCCTTTGCTCAGCAGACTGAGGGTCTGAGGGCTTGGCTGGAGCTGAGTTTACAGCAAAAGCTCATCATGTAGCTGCAAGAATAAAACAGTTTTGCCTCCAACTGCAGGACATTGCCTTGATTTGCAGAGAAGGGAGGGATGGGAGAGGCAGAGCAGGACTGAGGCAAGGGGAGCACAGCAGCCTGCAGCTCCCCAGAGCAGTCTCAGGCACTCAAGGACCGTGAAAGAGGCAGAGACAGATCATTTGTATAAAAAGCTGCCGCATTTTATTGCTCTAAAAACACACATTACACTAGAAGCCTAATGAACAAGACCAAATACAGTTCACAAAGAAAACCCAGGACAAAAGAGTGGGAACAGACAAACATCCAGCTGTAGTGCAAGTGATTCCCTGTGGGAAAGACACAGTGAGTACTGACAACACTTTGTGCTGGGGTGGGTCCTTCCCACCACACAAAGAGGGAGGTGGATGTGCCTCCACCTCCATCACTTTGAGATTTCAACTGCATAGTTAGTAGCAAATCAGTCTTACCCCTTTCCTGTGTGTCCTGCAAGATCAAGAACCTTTTATAATTATTTTTTAGAGCTAACCCGAGGTAAAACACGGCTGCAGGAGGTGGTTATGGCTGTGAGGAACAAATGGCCTTGCTCAGTCCAGCCTGGCTCCTCCCAAAAGGGCAGAGGCACAAGGCTGAGCTGGGACAGGATGTGCCCAAGCATTTGTCCAAGCTCCTGAGATGCACTTGGCACCCTGAGGGCTATTCCTGGGATATTCAGCCTCCTGTCCTGAGGAAGCAGGGGGTAAAACAGCATGCCTGAGCCAGCCCTCCAGATGTGCCAGCTGCCATTCTGATCTCCTGCAGCAGGAGATGAGAAATCACCTAGGAGAAGATGTGCTTTATCACAGCATTAATTTAAAACAGCCTACGACAGAGGGAGAGTGGTGGGCCAAAATAAAAAACACAGAAAACATTCAGTATTAAACCTACCCTTTGCTGCTGAGACCCTTTTCCAGAAAGATGTTCAGCCCTGGCTGGAACACAACTTTTTCTAAGCATGGCCTGACTACAAGAGGTCTCAAGAGCCTCTGGTTTCCACTGACTTTCTGAAGATCAGGATTTCTGGCAGCCCTGTGCTCGAGCATTCTCTTTCTCACATGGCTAGGGACCAGCTCTTGATACCTTCACTTCAGTGAAACCCTTCCCTGAAGACAGTGGATGTTTTTTTCCTGAGGAAAAAAATGACAGAGATGAATTGAGCTTCCCAGGGCTCAGCCTAAGGAGGAAATGCCCCACTAGGAAACGAGGTTGGACTCCAGCTCCTGAGAGAACCCCACTGGAGGAGCATTTGCTGAGTGACCTCCTTCCTCCAGCACAGCGAGTCCCAGGGCTTTTGCTACAACCTTTGGAGTGTGAGAAATCACAGTGGCTCTTTCCAGAGGTAGAATGGTGTTTTTATTCACTGCACTCACAGAGAATCGATGGGTGTTACAGAGCAGCGAGCTCTGCCCTGCTCTTCACGCCCCATGGGCAGCCCCAGGGGACACAGAGCTGCCACACATGAGTGGCAGAGGCATGGAAGAGTGGCACAGTGCACAAACCTGCCCTGGTGACTGGTGTGTGACAGGCCACTGCTCCCCAGGGGTCCTTCCAGCTCTCTGTCCTCAGCATGTCACCCCCTGAGCCCTCACACCATCTCCTTTCCAAGGCCTGGAGAGCAGACCCAGCTCCACAGAGCCCCTCTGGATCAGCCATCCCTCCTGCATGCCCTCAGCAGGGGTTGGGTTCAGCCTGTGAAACCTCCAGAGCAGGGTTTGAACTTCATTTGTCCTCACACAGCTCCAAGCACCCCGAGGGTGCCTCTAAACACAACTAACAGCCACCATGCACTGGCATTAACTACTGGGATGCTACTCTACTCTAAAGCTCTTCTTATCTCCACCAACAGGCCCACACGTGGGTGAGACCATGCACTGATGTCACTACAGCTCTTACAAGCCAGAGTGGTGTCACCAAGCCTGTCTGGCAGTGTCTGGCTTGGTTCCTGCTGCAGCAGACAGCCAAAATTCCCAAGGGTTCCCACTCCAGACAGGTCCTCGTAGGAGTCACCACCCTTGGATCTGAGACACCTCCAGTGAAGGCAGCACAGACACTTCAAGCACTGTGGCCAAAGGCTCCAGCCCAGCTCCGTCAGGGGAGTCCTTGAGGCCCACTTTCAGCTCACTGAGCTTTGCCACCCTCTCATGGTGGCAGATTGATGCACATTTCTCCCTTGCCTCAGCCCCAGGGTCACACCCTGCTGCCACAGAACACTGTGACAGCACAGCTGGGTCTCCTGCCTTGGTGCCCAGGAGCAGAGTGGGCCCTGCAGGTGCCCTGGAGCAGCACCCACCTGCCCCAGCCCCAGGACCATGCAGGAGGAGAGGCAGATGAGGGTCCCACCAGCTCTGTGCTCCCTCAGAGCACCCTGGAAGTCTCAGCCCTTGAGCTCTGCTTTGCCTTTGGCCTCCTGACACTAAAGCTACTGCAGAACTACTCACAGAGCAAAGCTGTCACTACCAGAGACACTGACATGCATCAGTCTGCAACATTCCTCTACTAAACACTACAGAACTCCCCACACACCCCTGAAATCAAAGGCTGTGCCCATTCCTGAGGCAGGGCTCTGCCCCTGCAGCACCCAGAAGTTTTTCCCTCAGGAATACCCCCCATTCCTCCTGCATGGCCCCAGGGATCAGCCAAGGGCTGGGGGCTCCAAACCAGCACAGCTTTGAGGGAAAAAAACCTTCCTTTATGGAAAAAACCCAGGCTGGTGGTGCCTGCTCTGCACCCCAGACAAGGGGTGTTGGAGCAATCCCAATTCAAAGGTGGGGGGAAAGGGGCTTTGCACAAAAAGGGTGCCCACATCCAGGAAATCCTGGAATCCTCACAGCTCCTGAGCTCCAGGGAAGAAGCAGCAGCTCACAGGAGCCAGCAGCTTGAGGAAGGGCAGGGTTTGAGGAGAGTTTTCAGCATGGACAGACCCCTCTGGCAGACAGACAGACAGCACTGAGCCTCCAGCAGCATTTCTCAGAGCACAGCACAAGCCCTCTATACCCAAGGATTCAAACAGGGGGACACAGTGCTGGTGGCTGTCCCAGTCCAGCAGTTACAGCCCAGTTTTCCTCCCTTCTCTCTCCCAGAAGAGGGGGAAAACACAGTTTGTCAAGCTTGTGGCCCAGAACAAGACAAAGGGGTCAAAGGACAACACACTCTTTTTGAAGAATCTGAGAAACACTCTGAAGGCTGAAATTGGATTTTGCAGCAGCCAGGGCTGTCCCTGGGTTCAGAGACCCCTGGTGAAATGAGGCAGCCCTGTGAAGGACAGGAAACAGAGCACTCCTTTCTCCCATATCCAGAGAAAATGAGTCCCATTAAAGTACTTAAATAACTAGAAATAAATTATTCCCCTTTTTCCTAATGAAAACAAAAAGCAACCATATAAAAATCAAATAAATTAAAATCCCCAGGACAAACTGGGGTGAGAAGAGGGGGATCTGGACTTAGTGAGCAGTTTTGTACTGCATGGTACAAAGCAAACAGAAAATGCAGTGTGAAAACCACAGAAGGAGCCTGGAATAGCAAATTAAAACATCCCAGCTGTCCACACTGAAATGGTACAGCCTCCTCTCTGTTTGCACAGGGAAGTTGTGCCACCTTCCCATACAAAACCTGCTCAGGATTAATGCAAAAACCACAATCCCAAAGACAAAGGCTGTACCAGAGCAGAGTAGGTCCCTTCACAGAGGGATGCAGAGTCCCAGGCTCACAAGGCAGGAATGCTCCTGCTCATCAGTGACCCTCACACCAGCAAAAAATCCCACTTGGCTCAAGAAACAACATCCTTTTCAGCTGAGGTACAGCAAATATTGTTTCCCTTCTGCCCCAATAAAAGAGTGAAGCTTAAGAAAAGTGCCCTTATTAAGACAAAGTAATTAATTCTCATAATTCAAGTAAATGGCAGTCACTGCCTGTAGCTGTATCCAGAGGAAGCAGGGACTGTGCTTTGGATGTCCCAGGATCTGCCCAGCAGCTCTGGCAGCTCCCTTGAAGAGATGGATTTTATCTTTTGATGGATTTTTGCTGGAAATCCTTTCCTGTGCAGTGATGCCTCCAGTGCTTGGTCCCATAAATAAAACAGTGGAAGAAGATCAAGGTTAAGCACCAGGGGGGTTTAGGTGTTGTACCTGGGAAGGGCCATCCCAGGGAGTGTTGCTAAGACATGAAACCTGCACTGGCAGGTCCTCTGTCCCTCCTCACCCATCCAGAGGGTAGTCCAGAAAAAAAATAAAAGGTTGTGAAAGTTGTGAAAGCAGCACTCAGAGAGCCAGCACCTCTGCAGCAAAAAGAAAAGAAAATATTAAAAAATAGGGGCACTGTTTGGGTTGAGAGCTGAGGAGAGAAGGAGAGACGTGCCGAGGTCTGGCTGCTGGTGTGAGGAAAGGACACAGCCTGCCCCAGCCCCTGAGATTCCCACTTGCTGCAGTGTCCAGGGACATAGTGGTGTAGCAGGGCATCAAGAGGACAGAGGGAAGGGCAGAGGAGATTTCCACATCTTCACTATGTCCAGGAGATGCCACCCAGAGCTCGTGTCCTTCAGAGAGCCTGTCCCTCCAGGCTCCCCGTCAGCTTCTCTTCATCCATCTGCTTCTGCTGCTGGTGGATGCGGGCGTAGGAGATGGCATCTCCCCTGTGGGGACAAGGGACAGCGTGGGCATGGCAGGGACTGTCCCAGCTGGGGCTGCCTCTCCATGCCAAGAGATTCCAGGGGTCAAACCACACTTGCTGGCCCTCTCCAACCCCCAAAGCTGGGCCCTTCCACCCAACAGCTGCAGACAGAAGGGTGGGACCCCCAGAACCCCCAAAACTCAGAGCTTCAGCAGCCCCCAGGACCTTCTCTCACAGGGCAGAACAGTGGGACCCTCAGAACTCCCAAAAACTCAAAGCTTCAGGCCCCAGAACCTTCCCTCACAGGGCAGAAGGATGGGACCCTCAAAACTCCGAAAACTCAGTGCTTCAGCAGTCTCCAGGATCTCCCCTCACAGGGCAGAAGGGTGGGGCCCTCAGAACCCCCAAAACTCAGAGCTTCAGCAGCTCCCATGACCTCCCCTCACAGGGCCCTGAGGTGAGGGAGATTTTCTCTGCCATGAGGGAGAACGTGGAATGATCCACACTCACACCTCAGCACGGTTTGTGCACCAGCAAAGCAGAGCCTTAGGGAGGCAGATGGGGCAGCTCTGGAGCTCCATCTCCCCCTTTCCCTGCCCTCCCCGAGCACCTGAACCTCTCTTACTTCTTTCCCAGGGCCGACATTCCGTAGAGCACGCCGGTGGCGAAGGCGATGGCGTTGCCCAGGAGCGTGGTCAGCGTCAGGCTGAGTATGACGGGGAACACGGCCATGCTGCAAGACAGGGGCAGCCCTCAGAGCAGGGTCCCGCTCCCCAGGGGCTGCAGGGGTGTTCTTTCCCCGGGGTGTGCCCACCATGAGCCCTCAGGAGCATCCTCACCCGCAGTAGAAAGCTGCTTTCTGCCAGGCCCGCAGCCGGTCGGCCCTGGCGGCCACGGCGTTGGCGAACTCGATGAACTGGCAGCAGAAAGGGGCCTCACACAGGAACAGCACGAAGGCGTTGAGCCTCCAGAAGAGAGCAAACCAGAGTTAATCCTGCCATTAGGCACCAATTTGGGGGTCAGCAATGCCCCTCAGGCCCACAGAGAGCAGATATTCCATGCTCCGTGCAGGTGAGGGGAATGGTGAGGCCAGGCCCTGCTCTGCTCCCCCCTCAGTTCTTGATAATTTCCAAGCCCTGCTGCCCCAGATTTATTTTGGACAAGGGTATCTCAGTATTTACCTAAAAATGCATAAAGAAATAATATAAACAGAATAAACCTAACATCTCAACCTGCCTGGCAATTCCCAGAGCCTGGTGGATGTTTCACTCCCATCCACTGCCCAAGCAGGGCAGCTTTGCCCCCCTCAGTGGGGTCTGGTTAACAATGCCTCCCTCCCAGCAGGAAAATGAAAATAAACCTGCTCACATCATCCACACGCCAGCTGCGATGTTCAGGGGGTTGATGGTGACACAGTTCCAGAGACCAGAAATGGCACAGGCTGGAAAGAAATAGGTTTTCAGTGACCACCATGACCAACACTGAATGCCCTTGGCCAGCAGCTGTGGGCACTGCAGGGCAGCACAGGATGGCGGGTAGAAAGGTCTGGTGGCCCAAAATGAGCCTGGAATGCAGGGAAGAGCCCTCCTCTGGTATCCTTTTGCTCTGAGTGCTGTTCCAACAATTATTTCCCTTGTGTAGAACAATATTTGCTTCCACATGGAGCCCAGGATGTGCACCTGGGATTTTATGTGCCAAGGTAGACAAACAGTGCCAGCAGGTTCCACCTCTGAGCAGCACAGGGCAAGTTCAGCAGAAACATGGCTTGCACACAGGAAGATAATAAATACAGCAGAGGTGAACACAGCTCTGCCACTCACTGCTGGTTCTGTGCAGCTTCACCAGAGATGGGCAGAAAAAAGCCAGGTTGGGGTCTCTGGTAATACAAAAGGAAGTGAATAAAGCCCAAAATAACCCCAGTGCTCCTGGCTCTGTAACTCAGGGAGAGGAACCAGGCAGCAGTGACTGAGCTGAGCTGCACCCACCTCCCTGCTGCCTCATTAAACTTGCAGAGTGTTCCTGGCACCTGATATGGGCCCTTCCCTCTGCCAGGGCTGCAGCTGGCACCAGGAACTCGAGCTCAGCTGGGAGGGCAGGAGACACACCTCAGCAAACATCATCACACTGTAAAACTCCACCTAAAATGGATTCTACAGCCTTTAAAGGCTATCTTGGGGATGATGGAGAGCAGCACAGCCCCTCTCTGAGGATGAAACCAGCCCTGGACTGAGGGTTTTGGGTGTCTGTTCAGGGGATCCCTGAGCAGAGCTGCTGTGAGCAGCCCTGACCTTCAAAAGCCTGGCACATGCTTGCAAGGTTTCTTTTAAGCAGTCACTGCTGAATCCTCAAAGTTCCGTTAAAAATAGTTATCCTTGTTTACCAGGCTGGGAAGCAGAATTGCAGGCAGTGACAGGACAGATTGAAGGTCATCCCATAAGCAAATGACCTCCTGGTCTTAGGAAATACCAAAACCCACTATTTTTTAACACTTCCTAGAACTAAGCCCACAGGACCCAAAATCTTTTGTAGAGTCCTGCAAGAACAAGATCAGCTAGCAGAGGGGATATTCCAGAGGTTGTGCTAATGTCTGTGCTCCAAGGGCACTTCTCACCCTCCCATGCCACAGGTTCCACTGTCACTGTCCCCAGGGGAAACTGAGGCACGGGGGTGAGGTGATCTGTTCATGGTCACGGGTGCAAACAGCTGGAGAGGAGCAATGGCAAACAGGATTCCAGCAGAGTACAGAGGTTCAGGCAGTTCCCAGCAGGTCTCCACCACACAACAAACCAAGAGAAGCAGAATGTTCTTTTCCAAGCAAGTTTTTTTTTTTTTTTCCCTAATCAAACTAACCAGGGGTTGTTTTGCCAGGTTTCTGGTTCGGTTTTGTCCCCAAACACTCCAAAACAACCCTGCAGCACCGTGTCCCTGCAGCAGTCCTGGCTCAGCAACCAGCCTGGTTGGCAGAGGACTAATGACCCAGGAAGCAGAGCTGAGCAAGCCCCACGTCAGCAGGAGCAGCAGGAAAGGAGTCAAAGGTTTGGGATCACAGGAGCACTGCCCCCAGAGCTGCTGCCAACAGCCACAGGACAACTCGGTGACCTTGGGTCTCCTTTGCAGAGCTGCTGGTCCCACACAGCCTGGTACATCCTTGTCCCACCAGGGCAGGAGCTGATCCCACCCCTGCCAAGCCAAAATTTGTTTTTAAAATATTTTCTTTCGAACAGAGGCCTAACAACAGGGTTAAAACACAGATAATGCTCTGTGGCACGTAAGCTATGGGAGACAGACAGTTCTGCCATTTGTTTAACTGCTGTCCCATCTTGAATCCCTGAGGAAGCACAAATAACTGGGAGCTAAAATGAGGGGGGAAGGACACCCTTCACTACAAAGGCTCTATTCATTTCCAGCAGCTGGTCACTGTCCTCAACACAAGCCTATTTTTGCTCCTGGAGTGTTTTACAAAAGCCACAGACTCTCCTCGTCCCATTACAAACAGGAACACAAAGAGAGAAGGGACTTGGCCAAGGTCACCAAGCCAGCGTGTGCAGGAGCCAGAAAGGGATCCTGAACCTTGTCTGTCTGGTTCTTGCTCCAGCCCTTGGATTTTTCTGGCTGAAGCAAGCTGTGGCTGCAGGTGTTTGCATGTGGCAGATGTTGTCTGCTGGTCTCACCTCCGCTAACGAAGTTTCTCTTCCTTTCTGAGGGAATTTTTCCTTCTGTAAGAAATAATCCAGCCCTGTAGCAGCATTACAATCCAGTTGCTCACAAAACTTATAAATTAGTTCTGTTCTTTCACAGCGAGCTCTGAGAACAACAGCAAACTCCAGCCTTGCTGGTTTATTCATCATCTCTTCTCCAAACCATCCACCTTCAACAAGGTGGTGCTGAACAAGCAGCATTTTGAAGAGGAGTGTTGGTACCATGGGGCACTGGTTGTTTTTTCCACAATCCCCCTTTTCCCTGTTCATAAGGAGAGTTTGTGCCTCATTCTCTGCCTGATAAAGAGACAGGGCTCCAGAGCCAGCTGTCACTCCCCAAATCTTTGGCAAACCCTGTTAAGAACCTGGCTCTTCTTCCAAAAGCTTCTCCCAGACTCACCCAAAGACATAAAACTCTCATCTTTCCTGTAAAAACAAGCCACGAGGTCGCAGAGCTGTGAACAAAAGGTTGGGAAAATAATCCAAGTATAATTCAGCTGCTTTGAAACACAAAGACAGAGAGGGAAAAAGAAGAAATTTGCACTTTCAAGCCACTCACAAGCTGCTGTAGCACGAGGCTGGCAGTGCCACCAGCATGACTCACCAGCTCTTCACCCTCCATCCACATCACCCCGAGTTCTGCATGGGATAAAACTGCAGGAACAGTGCTGAGGCTCCTGCTACAGCCACAGCCCGTGGGAAAGAAGCTGCTCCTCTGAACCCCCACCTGGGACCTGCTCCACAGACACTTCCCAGCTGGTTCTCCTGGCTGCTGGCCGGGCCAGGAGCGCGGGGGCCTCCGGCAGGGCACAGGGTGTGCGGAGCAGTCCCACCAAATCCTGTCACACCTCCAGCATTTCAGCACCTAGCACATGGAACGGTGAGAGCAGCACATGTTTTACCAGCCTGGCCAAAAAGGGCTTAGAGGAGACTGCCCAGTGATACCACAGGGTGCAAATGTCAGCTCCAAGAACATGGTGGGGTTGTGCAGCCCAGCCCCAAGGCAAAAGGCAGGCATGGGAAGGGGCAGGCAGGGGGAGAGGGTGATCAGACACAAAGCTCCAGCTGATGGAATAAATCAGAGCTGATTGCACTGGCTGAGAAACCTTCTTGTTTAACTTGAAGTCGTGGACCTGAAGCAGGAGAAATTCTCCATCCTGTGCTCTGCAGGAGATCAGACTAAGCGGTCATAACAGTCCCTCCTGCTTTTAAGAGCTATTAATCTCTCCACAGAATGTAGCAAAACAGCACTCCAGGACAGGCTGATTTCTGGCAAACTTGCTGAGACTCTTTCCCTGGGAAAATTTTTTTCAGCAGCAGGTAATTCTGAGCTCAGCCAACTCACTCTGCGTCTGCAGCTCCGTTCTCTGTGTCCTACCAAAGCCCTTAAAAGCAAACAGCACAAACCCAAACCATTCTTCACCTTCAGCAAAACTCATGGGCAGGCCTTCTGCAATCAGCAACAGGAGCAGTGGGAAACATGCTCTGACAGTCAGGATGGGGGAAAAAAAACAAGTTGTAGGAACATATAAACACCCAAAATCAAACAGGATGAACCAAACCCTGTGGCCATTCTTCCATCCCTGACCTGACCTGAGCCTGGTGCTCATAGTAAAACCATCTAAATTGCCTGCCAGGCACCAGAGCTCAGCTGCTGCTCCCATCACTGCCAGGGAGTGCCACAGCCAAGAAGAACCTCAGGGATTTGCAGATTGCCCTGTGACGTCCTGCTGTGGGTGCCAAAGTTCAGCAGGGTCAGTGAGCACAGAGCACATCCCTGATGGGCTCAAAGCACATCCCTGGTGGGCTCAGTGAGCACAGAGCCCATCCCTGGTGGGCTCAGTGGGCACAGGGCACATCCCTGGTGGGCTCAGTGAGCACAGAGCCCATCCCTGGTGGGCTCAGTGGGCACAGGGCACATCCCTGGTGGGCTCAGTGGGCACCCAGCACGTCCCTGGTGGGCTCAGTGGGCACAGAGCCCATCCCTGGTGGGCTCAGTGAGCACAGGGCACATCCCTGGTGGGCTCAGTGGGCACAGAGCACATCCCTCATGGGCTCAGTGGGCACAGGGCACATCCCTCATGGGCAGCTGAACCCACCTTGCTGCAGGCACAGCCACCGCTCTCCCTTCTGCCCCAAACACAGCAAACCAGCGCCCAGAGCTGGCACAACCCATCACCCCAAAACCCCTTCATGTCACAGCCAATATGACCCCAAAACGGGGTCAGGACCCCAAAACGGGGTCAGGACCGCGACAGGAGCTCTGTCATGCAGGAGGGGGCACACAGAGGGGAGGGGATACTCACACATGCCCCCGATGACCCCGGCAATCCTACAGAGCCACCTGTACCACCAGGTCATGCCCTCATCGGCCGCTGCTGCCTCGGGGGCTTCTGCTGCTGCTGCTGCTTCTGCTGGGAGCTGCTCATCCTGCGAGCTCATCTCCCCCCGCTGCCGGGGGCTCCTGCCGCCCACCTGAGCCCCCAGGTGTCACCCCCTGGTGCAGCCAGCCCCGGGGACAGCCCCTACAGGCAGGCCTGGGCCTGTGCCCGTGCGCCCATGCAGGGCTGGCCCCCCAGGGCTGACAATGGAGGCTGGCTGGCTGCAGAGCGGTGATGCCAGCGGGCCTGGAGCTGCTCCACGGCCGGCTCGAGCTGCATTGTGGGTCCCCCCCGGCAGCAGGCAGGGCTTTGCCTTTGATGTCACTGCATTAAAAGGCTGTGGGCAGAGCTCTGCTGCTCATATTCATCAGCACAGGCACAGCCAGCACCTCACTCCAGCTCTGGGTGCCCCCGGGAACAACTGGGTGTTGTTATCCAGGCAAGGCAGTGTTTGCTGCTCCAGAAAGGGAAACAGGAATGCTCTGTTTTCCAGAAAGGGAAACAGGAATCCTCTGTTTTCCAGAAAGGGAGACAGGAATCCTCTGTTTTCCAGAAAGGGAAACGGGAATCCTTCCCACTGACGGGAACTGAACGCTGTTGCAAAATCCTGCTCTCCAGATAAGAGGGTTGCACTCCCCCTTATCTGACTGGAATTAGGTTTTCTCCCTAAAAATGGGAGCAGAAGTAGCACTTTGCAAGCAGATGCCCCAGCTGGCAAGCTGGTGGTGTCCAAATGGGACAGGGGAACACCCTGAACTGTCCTAAGTGAGGAAGGCAACAGCTGCATTTTGTGCAGATGAACGTGGAACACAAGCAGAGCCCAGCTCTGCACAGTCGATCTGGAACAACAAATAGCAGTGAGACTTGGGATCCAGAGCAGAGTGGGAAGACAGATCCCATCTGCTAAAAGGTTACAAAAAAGGGATTAAGGAAAGGATGTCTTTTCATTACCATCTCCTGTCAGACAGGAAATGAAGGCCCAGGGCCTGCATCACCCACGCACTGCAGAGGGATAGCTGATGTATCCAGCTCCTCGAGGATCTCACTTCAGGAATCTATTTTCTGGCTCCTCCAGGAATGGAACGTAAATCTGGAGGCTGGCAAGCAAAAACTCCAGGTTTAACCAGCAAAAAAACAGCTATTAATTAAGAAGACAATTTGTGGTTGTAGAAGGATGTCAGAGAATCCAACTGAGAGAAAGCAGGAGCAGGGTTAAAACTGCCCAGGCAGAACCATTTATTGCATCCAGCATGAAGAGCAAGTGCAGATGTGTCCAGCCAGGCTCCAGGTGCAGAAAAGACACTTTAGGCAGTATATTGTGATTTTGAGGAGGATGACAGATTTGGACCAAAGCACAGCCCAATGTTCAAGATACTAAAAAAAAAAAGAAGTAACCTAAAAAATTCATTTAAATGAAACTTGTGTATTTACCACTGCTCTAAAATCCCTCTCCCTGCCACAGCTTGTCCATGCAGCCTCAACCACAGTTCTTGTCAAATGAAGATACAGACTGATAGCACAGATACTGTTCTTATCTGAATAAGTCAGACCTGGAACCAAACCTGGCATTAATTATTTTTATTTTCTCATAGAAAAGAAGAGGTGGTATCACTGTCAGATATCCAACAGCAGAACCACAGAAAGGGTGGCTGAGGAGGGACCTCAGGATGTCATTTATTCCTCCCACATAAAGCCAGCTGTCACCAGGGCCTGCCCAGCAG